TTGGCCGAGGTAAACTCTCTTCCTCTATCGGTGAACCATATATTGAACTTAGCTGAGGCAAACTCTCCTCCTCTATCGGTGAGAAAGGTTCTGATGGGTTCCTTCAACCTTTTGAACCGATCGAATACCTCATGCTTCTTCTTCAATAGTATAGCCGGGAATTCATGTCTAATTTGATTCTCTGTTAGACATGCGTTACACACGACATCTCCGTGTGTTACACTCAGGAATGAGTGTCTGTTTTGCTTCACTGCGTCACACACGCCTTCTTCGTGTGTTACACTCGGGAATGAGTGTTTGATCTGCTTCATTGTGTCACACACGCCTTCTTCGTGTGTTACACTCGACATTCTTTTGACTAACGTCTGAAGTCTCACCCTCCTTACACGAACAGCTCCAAGGTGTCGTGACCTGATGGCGTAACATATGTCTTTAGAAGCGGCTTGTTCTCCCACCTGGAGAATCAAGCTTTCAGAAGCAACTTGTTCTCCCACCTGGAGAATCAAGTTTTCAGAAGTGGACTGAAACAAAAGAGAAATCGCAACATCGTTCTTCTTTTGATCATCCGAACCAGGTTCTATCGTGCCATGAACACGCATCATAACCTTCATCCTCATCGACAAAACGGTATAGTTTGACGATGATAACATAGGACATTGGGTGGATGTAGTTCCAAGGTCCTTCGTGCGTGGAGCCCTAGTCACGTCCGCCATCTTGCTCGCGTGTACTCTTGGTCACAAGCACCAGGATCGAAGCTTCAACTTAAGCTTAGATCGAGTCTCCAACCTGAGAAGCTCTGATACCAATTCAAGTTTGAATCAGAACTTCAACTTAAGCTCTGATACCAATTCAAGTTTGAATCAGAACTTCAACTTAAGCTCTGATACCAATTCAAATCTCTAGAAACACAAAGGATTATAAGAACAACTTTTCTTATTAGCTTTAGAAACTACTCAAAACTAAAGCTCACAATATGTTTCTCTTAGATCATTGATCTACTCTCTTAGATCTTTTGGAACACCTCTCCATAGATCTCTATTTATATGCAAGATAATTCCCTTGAACATGTGGGATATGGAAAACACAAACCTAATCTAATAGAAAACTTCCTTTTCCTATTTCTAGATTTCCTTGTTGTGTTTATCTCTTAACATATTAAACATCCAATAATATGTTAAGTTTCCACAAGCTTGGAATTACCCAACATCTTTTTTGTCAACATTTATTTTCTCCTTAAAAGTACATTACAACAAATTTCTAAATTAATGAAACTTGTAGTAAAGTAAAAAAGATTTAACAAACAAAAATAATTTAAAACGGAAAAGGAAACTCGAACAAAATCTCACTTCGTTTTATTTTTCTTTTTGACTGTGCCTTATTTATATTCATGTGTATATATACAAATGAATCAATGGTGGTGATTTAGAGGAGACATGCACGGGATGCGAAGCAAGAAGAAAATGGTCCAAGGAATAAAATGACAATGTGAATAAAACCAAACATTGTTTTTAGAAACAAAGTAACTCTTCACTAAACAACATAACACTACTTACAAATATCTTTGTCTCTCTTGCATATAAATTTGCATTTTGTTTTTCATTTTTTATCAAGTAGAGAAACTCGGTGTCAAAGTCAAAGTTCACATGGCTTATGTTACTTGGAATTATCCGGCCAGTTAACTTACATGAACTTTTTAATGGACATCATATGTATAATTAAGTTAGCTATTATTTTTTCTTTTGTACAGATAAATTAGCTACTCTTCTTTCTTATAAACAGATTTCTACGATCTAAAAGTAGGCATGCACCCAATTACAGGATCTGGATGGCAGAAAAGTTCTGATCTTTGCACAAAAAAATGTTCAGATATACAGTCTATCATGTCTGCATGTCGTGAATTAGATTTTCTCAAAACTCTTGTACATAAAACTCAAACATTTCATACTTTATCTTATACAGTATTTCTAGATGTATATGCGTGCCCTTATTGTAAAAATTCACTAGTTTGCATAGTGTTTTGTTTTTAAACACAAGTCCGGGTTCCAAGTTTTGGGAACCTCAAAAAGCAACACTGGTTCCTAAAATAAGTTCATTTGTATTACTATTATAAAACCATATACTGAGAGAGCAACCAAACAACGCTGTTGTGTTAGTGCAATCACACCTGTGTGAGCTGTGTTAGTGGACAGCAATCTTGATTTAAGTAACTGGTGAGGCAACTTTTCGAACAAAAACTTCTACTCCATTATAACGAGAGACAACTACCAAAATTTATTATAAGATATATAGTAAATTTCCAACTTCCGATATATTGTATTTCAAATTCTATATATCTATCGACTTGGTTGATATAATTAGTGAAATATCTCTTCTATATAAGTTAAGAAAAAAATGTCTTCTACACTATTCTATAGGAAAAATAGACTTCTCACATAGCGAGAATTGCGTTCTTATCCGAGTCAAAAAAGTTGAAGACGGTCTCACATTGGAATGCCCACTCACATTCAATTCCCTATGATGTTCCATGCACAATTACGATAAATTTAGATATTTTAATATCTGAATCTAAAAGGAAAACTGAAATTATTCTTAGGATAACTACAGTAGTAAGAGATTGATAGGACATCAGTTTGGGTACTAATTCTTAGCAAGTGTTGTTTAGGCACGAACTACTAGGTCAATGCTCTAGTATTATATAACTTCTTTTTAAATAGGTTTCATATTTTTCCCATTAGGCCATTACTTATCAAAAGTTCCAACCAAAACCAAATCTTAAAACAAATTTCAATGTTAATATTGCCAAGCGTGTAACTTTCCATTTTACTAATATTTTCTTCTAGAAAGTTTGGAATATCATGTAGTGCTGTAAACTCTATTCGGATTTCAGTGGTTATTAGTAAGTGTTGCAGTGTTTCAAAAAAAAAATAGTAAGTGTTGCATAACATGAAGGATTCTTGATTATATATGAAGAATAAAGTCATGTGAATCCAAATTAAACTTTTTAAAGAAAGAAGTAATTGATGTGTTTCTTTGGCCGAAGGAAACCCCTACTTTCTTTAAACTAGAATTAAACTTAGACACGCACAAATTTGAAAGGTTTCACGAACTCGTTACTAGCGTAAAACATACTTGACGGATCCAAACTTTTTCAGTTTTTGAGAATGTTTTTTTTTTTTTGGTTTGACGTGTTATATCTATTGAACACAAAAAGGAGTTATTTACAAGCTCAATAAAGAAGAGAATTGAAAACTATAAAACAACCAAAGCAAAAGTTTGTGACGTTTGCCATAAAATACGATCACAAGAGCCTAACCAACGACAAAGCAAGCCATGAAGCTTTAGAGGAGATCCTATTGTGAATCATACGCTCTATTGATAGTTGTGAATTCACAAACTCCTTTTGGTAATTAATACCCAAGATCTGGAAAGCAAGGTGGCAAAGGATTGAAAGTAACGTAAGGTGTATGCTAATGTTTCATTCCAGTTTGGACCAGCGTCGGCTCAAGACTTTTGAGGGCCCCTGGGCAGAAATTTTTTTTTTTTGGCATTCTTTTAATGAAAATTTATTTCTTAAAATATTTTTAACATAGTAAAAAATTTAATCTACTTATGAAATTTTGTGATAAATATAATCATAAAAATATATTATATAAATTTTAGTTATGAAAGCATATATATAGATATTTTTTTGTTAAACTAATTTCATCTAAAACAATTAAAAAAAAAATGTAACACAAATTATAAAAAAAAAAATATTGGGCCCTTATTTGTGTGGACCCTGGGGTGGTGCACCGTTTGTCCCTCCCCCTGAGCCGCCCCTGGTTTGGACTAGCTCTCTTCCGAGCAGACCATCCACAACTTCTAACCAAACCATGCAAATATATGGACATGCGAAAATTAAGTGATCTCTTGATTAAACTTGTTATCACAAAAGAGATGTTTTTAAAACCGGACCGACCCCGTGGTTGGACCAGCTTCAACCATGGACCGGTTAAAACCAGGTTGGATCTAGTAACTGGTTCGACCATGAACCAATGAATAGTCGGATTGTATCTCAATGTTATTGAATTTAATAAAATTATTAAAACTATCAAAATTTATAAACCAACCATATAAAGAAAAATATAGTTTATATTTTATCTATATTTATATTTTAAACCAGCCAAATTATTGAACCAGGTTTTTATCAAGTCAAACTATATTGAACCATGATCCAACAATTATCCAGTCTAACTCTCTGTCCGGTTTTAGAAACATTGCAAAAGACACAGTTTTGGTGATGTGGCTGGTGTCGCAAAACTTGCATTCTAGAGCCCCTACATGGAATGCAGGTGCAGCCTTCATAAATGTTCTCATTATCTCATATGAAGAAGTAACTGTTTGATACTTTCATAGCTTCATCGTCTAGTGAGTGGTTCCAAATAAGTTATTTGATTTAATCTCACATACATATGTGTATTTTTGGTGAAAATGTTAAATTTTGTACCAAGTTTTTAGTGCAAATCTCTATACATATGTTTAAGTCTCTTTTAACATTTGAGTCAATGTTATAATTTGCTAAAATGAATGACAAACTATTAACAAGTCATAATGAACTAAAGGATACATTTAGTTATTTATTATTTTTTTTTACCGCCTGTCCATATAAACTACATCAAATGATGGTCAGATAAACCGGTTTTTCGAAGTCTGAGAATCACTTATATCTGATCGGATATAATCTATATGAGAATAAATATAGTCTCTGGTACTCGTTTACTTTGCTAGTGCGTCCGCCGATCATTCCTACTCCAAAAAATATTATATTTTATTTTTGTTCATTCATGTATTGTATTCTATTAACAACTCAGAAGAACACTCGTGACGTTTTTTTTTATTACAAAGAAAACTCAGTGTCGTTTAACATTAGTAAAACCACAGGGCGTTGATTTCTATTGTAGAGAAACTGAGTTTTATCTTCCTCTTCTTCTTCTTCGCCACGAAGGAAAAGCTTTTAAATTAAAAGAGCCACCGTTGACTCTCATCGGTTTTAATTGTATCTCCGATCATGTCGTCGAAGGCGAGTAGCAGCCGTGGCGGAGAGAGCATCATCGCTGATTGTGGACGCAATACATCAATTTGCGGTTACTGTAAATCCCCTACAGGCTCCAGTATATCTCACGGTTCGTTGCCTCTCCATTCAAATTTGAAATTATCTTATTTGATCGATTCGTTGAGCATCACTGATACTTAGAATAATGATCTGATCAATAAAGATGTGACCTTTGCGTATGTCTCTATCTCCAATGCAGGTTTATGGACAGAGAGACTCACTGTTTATGATTACCAAGGTTTGTTTGCATCCTTTTTGAGATTCATAGGTTTTGATTTTGAAATAAAGTTCTGATTTTGATGATGATTTAGCTTTGAATTTGTCATTTTGATTCATGTTTTACTTTCTGAGCTTAGTGATCATTTTTTGATGTGTGTTTGTTTTGAGTAGCTCTTCTTGACCGTGGATGGAGACGGTCTGGCTGCTACGTTTACAAACCTGAGATGGCTAAAACTTGTTGTCCTTCTTACACTATCCGCTTGAGAGCTAGTGATTTTGTTCCTTCTAAGGAGCAGCAGCGAGTGCGTAGAAAACTAGAAAGGTATTGTATTTGAGATGCAACTCTTTTTTTTTCTTTTTTCTTATTTCTCTAGATCAATCAAAAGATGAAAGCTCTACCAAGATAAGTTATGTCACACAACCTTTTCTTTTGCTTTTAAAACATCTTGTTGAATTTAGTCAAAAGTTCATGATCTTTATTCAACGCAGTCCCTTCTCTTTTTAATTGTTTCTGTGATGCTGTGTACAAAGGTTCTTGGACGGTGAGCTAGATCTTAAGCAGAGAGAGCGAAAAGAAGATACAGATGTTTCTTTCTCTCGGGAAGTTTCAGAGCCGCTGAGAAAACCACATGGTTCTGGTAAAAGAGAACAAACTAATGAAGTGGAACCAATCATTAAAGAGTTGTCTGACCACATTGATAATGCGGTTCAAAGATGCATACAAAGTGGGGAGTTTCCTTCTAATATTCAGTTTCCAAAATCTTCAGTGAAGAAAATTCTCTCTGCTAAACGGAAGAAGCTAGCTGAAGGATCAGAAGAACTCTTGTACACTAGCAACATTGCTTTTCCAATAGTAGCTGCAATAAAACAGACACAAGCATCTCAGAAAGGCGAGGGAAGCAAAAAGACAGAAGAAAACGTATTATCACCAGAGACTGTTTCTGAGAAGTTGTTAAGTGAAATGAATAAGGTGGGAGGGTTCCCTGGCTTGGCTATTAAGGTCTGCAAAGGCCATATCAACTTCTTTTCGGCTACACAAGTCACTTCCTCAGAAAGAGAAGAAGGTGAAAACCTCCTCTCTGCTACAACGACTACAAAGTCTTCTTCAAACAACCTTCAAGTAAGAAAGAGGAAGCTGGAGATGCATTTGAAAAGGTCAAGTTTTGATCCAGAGGAGTATGAACTATACAAACGTTATCAACTTAGAGTTCATAACGATGAGCCAGAAAGCATCTCAAAAACTTCATACAAAAGGTTTTTGGTTGACACTCCGTTGATTGAAGTTCCCCCTTCACGTGATGGTGGTGATGATGAAGAGGTTCCTCCTTGTGGCTTTGGTTCTTACCATCAACAATACAGAGTTGATGGACGTCTTATTGCTGTGGGAGTAATCGACATTCTTCCTAAATGTTTGTCTAGTAAATACCTATTCTGGGATCCGGATTTTGCATCCTTGTCTCTTGGAAACTACTCAGCCCTGCAAGAGATAGATTGGGTGAAACAGAACCAAGCTCATTGCTCTTCTCTTGAGTATTACTATCTTGGTTATTACATACATTCTTGCAATAAGATGAGATATAAAGCAGCTTATCGTCCTTCTGAGCTTCTATGTCCTCTCCGTTACCAGTAAGTTCCCAAGACCAGTTAACTAAGATTAAACTCTTGTTACTTGAACTAAATGTGTTTCTTGTATTTTGTTCTCAGGTGGGTTCCATTTGAAGTAGCTAAGCCTCTGCTTGATAAAAAGCCGTATTCTGTGTTATCAGATCTCAATAAGGCGTCTGAAACAGTAGTGGAGTCGACTAGTGAACGTAAAGACATGGTACAAAGGGATGATGATAAAGAAATGAACAACTCTGATGAAGAATTAGATTCTGATTCTAGTGTTAACTGCAATGACATTACCAATATCCTTATCAGTCTTAATGGAGCTAGGCTTCGGTACAAGGTAATATCACTATCACTAGTTCACTAGTACGTTCATCAAGTCCTGAATCTTGGTTAAAAATTAAAAATATTTGTTTTTTTGGAAGGATTTACTACGGATGATAAACATGGGAGTTCGTAAACAACTGGAACCGGTGTTTATCAGTTACCGGAGAGTCGTGGGAGCTGAGCTTTCGGAGAGAATGGTGTTTGAACTACAGTAGCACTAAGCTTGGTTCAGATCACTTAATACTCTTTTGTAACATTAATAATATTATCATTGAATCTCAGTGTTGTCATGTTTTTTCCATCTTGTCATGTTTTCTCAGCATAACAAAGTGAAACAATTCCGCAAACTAAGATTACAGAATGTTATTATGCGTTAAACCAAAGTGAGTTTTGTTGATTGTGTCAAGACTTGGAACAGATCCAAACTTGAAACAATGTACACTGCTATTAATGTTATTAAGAACTTAAGAGACAAACTAAAGGCTTTGACAAAGTAAGATAATGAGATATATTATAATTGAATGTGTTCCACGAGTAGTTGCAACACAAACAAGTGATCTCTGAAGGAGTCCTAATGAAAGATGGATGGTTCACAAAATGAGTAAAAGAGAAGAAGACATTGAGAAGAATGTACAAATCAGATATGGTGAATTATTGAGATGAAGCATCAATATCAATCATTCATCAGTATCACTTTCCCCGGCTTCAACTTCTTGAGCCGCAGCCACCCAGTAATTGTTCCCATCCGGTCCACAGACCTTGTACCTGTCAATGAATATGAAAACACAATACTATCATCTCAACTCAACAAAAACCAAAACCAGTGATTAAGAGCTAACAAGGTACTACAGACCTTTCGAGAACAGATTTGCCTTCCTTGTACTTTTGGTTCTTCTCAAAAGCAAACTCCTGATTAACAAACAAACAAAGGTTATACCAAGAAACATTAGATTAGCAAAGCAAGAGCCAAGGAAGAGTTGGATGTTTTAACTTACATATCTCCACCCAACATAAGAGCCGCATTTAACGCAGTAAATATCAACCACCGTGTGCATACCCGTCATCATCATCCTATCTTCCTTCTTCCCAGCATACACATTTGCTCTGTCCACAAAAAAAAAAACCACTACTAAGTGAAACATACATAAAAAAAAGTAACTCCGTTACCAAAAACAGAAACCAAACTCTGCAACAGAAAACTTACACTTTACTGAAGAGATAAGCTTTTCCATGCCGGGACTGAAAAGACTGTTAAAAACCAATAAAAACACATATGTTTTCAGTAATATACACAAAGACATTGCAAATATTTAATCTTATACAAACCATAAGCAATTAAATTGAGACAGTCTCAAGATCACACAAGCCAAAGAGTCTAAAAAAATGTTTTGAATCATAGAATTATAAAGCTTTAATCAGATTCCACAAACCATCAATTCAAGAGTCATAGTCAATAATACAATGCATGGAACCAATTATGATTCTCGACCAATCAAAGTTAGATCATCTGATTTATGTAATCATCAGTGATCTGAATATGATGAATCGGAACAATAACAGCGCAGATTAAGAATTAGCAGTAAAAAAAACAAAAGAGAAACCTTGGAGACGACATCATCGCAGAGAGCGAGATTAGTCTTACAGTGCCTACAACTGTAAGACTTTCCTTCCAAATTCACCAAAAACAATCTCCCCATCCCTTTCTCTTTTTTCTTCTTTGAAGAAACCGATCAGAATCTAAGTAGTGGTGGAGGGATTAGGAACCGGTCTTTATAGAAATCAACGAGACTTGTTTGGTAAAATCTAAAATGGTAGAGATCATTTAATTACGGACCAAGGTAGAGGCCGTTTTTATCAATTTTGGGGATGCAATTTTTTAAAAAGATAAAGAAAACTATAAAATGGAGAAAATTCAGTCTTCTTTACTTTGAGACGATATTATTATTTTTTGCAAAATATGCACCTCGTGGACCTGGCCCAGTCTTGGCCTGGGAATATGCGAAAACTAATTCTTTTTTTTTTTCTTAATTCGTATTACGAAAAACTAAATCTATTTTTTTTTTTCTGTTTATCTGCAGGTATTTCTAACCTATAACACTATTTTAATATAATTTCAACACTAAAAATATATAAATTTAAATCACAACAGCAAATTTAACACTAAAAATATTTAATATATTTATATATTTTATTTATCATTTATTTAATTGTAGATTTTATTAATAAAAATAAGTAAATAATGTTTTATTGGAATGAATAGTGTTTTATTGTGATAAATAATATCACATCAAATTTGGCGTAAAATTATAATGTTACACTAAATGATGTAATTTTAGTGTTGAATTGTAAAAAATTCATACTCTTCTGTTTCACTTTAGTTGTCATTCTAAGTTTTTCCACACAGATTAAAGAAATATTTAATTTTACATATTTTCAAGATAAAAACACAAGTTACTTATACATATGACCACTTCTCAACTGATAGAAAAAATAGAATATTATATAAAACTAATAAATTTTGCCTCGAAACTCTAAAATGACACTTAATTTGCGACAAAAAATTAAGCCCAAAATGATAAATATTCTGAAACGGAAGAAGTACTAAAACAGAATTTTAGTGTTGGATTTGAGATGGTCTAATAAAACAATGATTAATTCTAGTCTCTTAATTGAGACTTTTAGATTCGGCTAAGATATGATTCTTAGTTTTTAATTAAGAAAAACTAAGAACCGTCTCTTAAATAAGAGATATAAAATCATGTTTATTGGAGAATTCTTAGGGGGGATTCTTAGTTTCAGTTAAGATATGTTTCTTAACTTTTAATAAAAAAACAAAAACCAATTCTTAAATAAAAAAATATAATAGCCAGCTCTTAACCAAAAGTGTAAAAAAAAAGGTTAAATTATTAGTTAATAACTCCATTCTAATAATCTTCAATAAACATGTTCTAAGAAGTATCTCTTAGCCAAAAAAATATATAAAAAAATTTAATCAGAAATTAAAAACCTCAAGTAAGATACTAGGGTTATTCATGCTCTAGACACATGTTATTTTTGATGGATAGTATTTGGGCTGACATTGAACGTTTTTATTATTTTCTTTTTTTTTCAAACTAGGTGTTTTACCCGTACTTGCGGGCATAATTTTCATAGAATTTATTATTAGTCTATATTTTATTAATTTAAACCAATATAATAAGTTATGATTTATGTTTTATAATTAATTATAAATGGCAACACTCACATAATAAAATATTTTTAAAATATATTTTTACAAATGTTTTGCTTTAATTTATGTAAGTTATAATTTTTTCTATCTTAATTTTTTATCTCTATAATAAAAAATATATTTTCAAAATAACAATATAATACATAAGAAGTATCATATTTTCTCAAAATATAATTTTTAATAGAAATTCGTTTTTATTTTATAATAAATTTTATATGAAATTATTAAAAATATGAAAAATAATCAAAATTATCTAAATAATAGAGAAATTACAAATCAGATAATTAACTTAAATTTGCTAATAGAAAATATATGTTCAAGATAAAAATCTACTACATAAGAATTATCTTATTTTTTATAAAATCTAGTAGTATTAGTATACATTCGTTTTATTATTTAATAGATCATATATGAATTATTAAAATATGATAAATAAGCAAAATATAAAATCATGGAGAAGTTGATAAATCAGCACTGCTTTCTTTATATTTAACTATTAAAATTTAACTTAATTTTTAATTACTATGATAAAAGAATATATTTTAAAGATAAGAATATAATACATAAGAATTATCTTATTTTCTAAAATTATAATATTATTAATAGAAATTCGGTTTAATATATGATAAATTATTCATAAAATTATTAAAAATATAATAAATAAACAAAATTACAAATCTTGGAGAAGTTACAAAATAATCAACATATTTTCTAAAATATAATATTATTAATATAAATTCATTTTTATTAAATAATAAATTGTATATGAAATTATTTAAATAAAGTAAATAAAAAAATGTAACTAAAATTAAGAAGAATTTGACAACTAAACAAATTTAGTTTAATACATTACATACGATAGATTTCCCCTAAAATTAATAGTCACTGTACAAACAAGGAGCCCAAACCTTCTGACCCATAGCGAGTCCTTTCCAGTCTCCGTCTTAAGCCGCCGTAAACTTGCTCGGAAACCAGACAAGAGCCCCCACTACTGACGCAACAACATCTTTTCTACCTTGTTCCTACTCGTTCGTTGTCAAAGTTAAAATCCCATCTCTGTCGCTCAGTTTATCACCGAAGACCCCCGAAGAGCTTCTGAACTATTGGTGAGTCTATGTATACGTTTCTAGTATAATCTGCAGGCCAGGTGTTCGATTAAATGTCTGAATGAATTTAAAAAGTATTGAACTTGTTCGTGAAATCTTAAAGGAACTTAGTCAATGGGTTTTGTGCATTGATAGATTTTTGATTCGGCTATGGCTGCACCCAACGTTCGTACCAGCAGCTTCTCTCGCAACATATCAGTTGTCTCCTCACCACAAACACCTGGTCTCAAAAACGGTCCTAATGGCACAACTTTCGTATCCACAGGGATTCGTGATCTCGACAGTGAGAGTTTTTTCTTCTTCTTTATTAATAAGTTTGAGGATGAGAGAAGCTGAAAAGGATTTGTCTTTTGTTTGTTTCAAGGGATACTAGGTGGTGGGTATCCTTTGGGAAGCTTAGTGATGGTGATGGAAGATCCTGAAGCGCCACATCATATGGATCTTCTGAGGACTTTCATGTCTCAGGGGCTTGTTAACAATCATCCACTTCTTTATGCTAGTCCTTCCAAAGATCCCAGAGGGTTTCTTGGTACTTTGCCTAATCCTGGATCGTCCAAAGAAGATAAGCCTACTGTTCCTGACCCTGATCAGGTGCTTACCTTTGTTCTGCTTTTTTCTTTTGTGGCGTGATATGAAGAATTAGTTACAAGATGGTTACTGATTGTTAATATTGTAGGGAGAGAGCTTGAGGATTGCTTGGCAGTATCGGAAGTATATGGAAAACCAGAAGAATTCTATTGGTAATCCCATACGTATCATTCTCGAATACATCAAGCTACTAATTAAGCTAATATCATTCTGTGGGCAGCCTAATTCTTTTTTTAATGTAATTATGGATCAGATGATTACTCAAATGACTTTGATATGAGAAAGCCTTTGGAGAGGCAGTTTCTTGCAGGACGGCCAATAGATTGTGTCAGTCTGCTAGATTCTTCCGATCTTTCTGTTGCTCAGGACCACTGCGCTACCTTCTTATCAAAGTTTCCGAGGTTGTGTGTCACCCCTTTCTTATTTGATGTGTCATTTACTTCTCTCTAGTTTCATATCCACAAAAATTTGCTAGTCAACATCCATATCTATGCGCCAAAATGTGTCCAAGCTCATTTCTTAGACATCTCAAATACTTTCAGACGTGCTACTTTAGCGGGAGAGACTTAGTTTTTTAGATGCTCATAATGTAAAGATTATATACAGTGTGTTGCCAGTTCTTGTCTAAGTTCTTTTATTGTTTTTCTAGCTTTATTAAGAAGCTTGTCTCTTTTTTTCTTAAGAACTTGTCTGATGATTCCCACAGAAACAGCAGTAACCTTACATCCATTGGCCGCATCGCAATCCAGTCATTCTGCTCTCCCCTTTGTGAGTATTCTGAAAAGGTAAATTAGGTTAATGAGCTCTTTATAACTTGTAATCTTTCTTCATTCAAAAATGTATCGTTTTACTTTCTTACCAAAGTTCTATTGACTCTAAAGTTGCTGAAAGCTAAAGCTTGTAGCTGGCAGTCTGGCACTGTCATGTTGTTCGATATTATAGTGTTGTTTGTTTGATATATTATTTCTTTCAAACACAGGAATCAGACATGCTTTCCTTCATAAGATTGCTGAAAAGTATGCTGATGGTTTCAAATGCGGTAGCCATTGTTACTTTCCCACCTTCCATGCTCTCCCCATCTTCCTCAGTAAGACTGCAACACATGGCGGATACCTTACTCTCTATCAAAGCGATCCCAGGTTTGTCCCCCTGATCTACTTGTTCGTTTTAGTAGCTTTTCGTCGTTGTTTCCCACATGTGTCCTCACCTTTTTCTCCAGATGGTGACAAGGAATTGGAGAAACTTCTCACTGGCTACAAGGACATAAATGGATTCCTCAACGTACACAAGGTTGCGCGTATCAACACACAGGTATCTTCTCAGTGTAGACATGTTATTTACCCCCAGAGTCACAATCAAACAATTTCAATCAAGAAAAGTCTTGTGAATTCCAAATTTCTACCCAATCCCTTTTATCCAAAACAATGGTTTATATCTGGAATTGTTTAATGGAACAGGTGCCTGTAATTCTAGAGGCAAAAACCTTCTCAATGAGCTTGAAGAAGAGAAGATTCTTGGCTCTAGAGTGTCTGAATCAAGCCCCTGTAGACGGATCCAGTGGAACATCGTATGGCACATCTGGGAGCTGCTCAGGATCATCCAAATCCGGAGCACTCGATTTTTGAGTTGCTGAGTTAGTTTTTTTCTTCTTAGCTCCATTTTGTTAAATGACTTCACTTCAGAAACTGGCCATTATAGTGTTCGGTCAGAAGTAACAATTACCTCATTAGCTAAAGAAGAAGCAAATGTGTTTTTACCATTCGTATTTTGAGTAGCAAAAAAAACGGAAACCTATTTCATTTCACTTGTGTATTATCATATTCATGGAACTTTGACGACCAAATGATAGATGCTAAGTATATACCTAACGTTTAATTTAAGTAATACCTACAGATTAGCACGTTTATATAATAAAGAAGAAAAAGAGTTGGAGCATTGAATGAAGTGTCGTCAAAATGTGGTTGATCTATATATTTGGTGCTCCTTTACTAACCAACCAACGAGTTATATCATTTGAATTTATTTTAAAAAAAAAACATTTGTTATTGCCTCATTAATCTGTCTCACCCCGTACTCTTTCTTGACTTTTCAAATGTTACAAGAGAAAACCCCAAAAACATAGACAAGGCATTTCCAAATATAATTGTATATTTTAGATTGAATGTTAGTTAACAAACAAAAACAGAGAATGTTATGGGATATAAGAAACAAAATGCTTTAAAAATGGAAATAACACCTAAAACTTGCTGAGGTCATAACTAGGTTTTTGTTTTTTTAAATTCTGTTATATTTGAAAAATAATAATGATAGGACGTTGGTGCATTTAATCTCGCATCTTTATAACAAACAGTGTTGCAAGATCGATACAGAGAGAGAGAGAGATAGATCTCTCACCGGCAGTAACCATTTGGGACAGAGAAAAAAAAACAGCTGTTGTGAATAGAGAAATAGAAGCGTGGTTTGTGTGTTTGAACGTGAGAGACAATGGTTGGACCTTCGCGGCCTCAGATCGTTCTGTTTGGATCCTCCATCGTTCAGATGAGCTTTGGACATGGAGGTTGGGGTGCCATTCTCTCCGAGGTCTATGCTCGTAAGGTATATATACATCTCTCCCTCTCTCGCGGGATCACTCGTTGTATCTTACAGTTTTGGTATATTCATCCTTTGTGTGGTTATTAGTGGATCGCCTTTTTTTGTTACTGTTTGTTATTTCTATTAATCATACACATGTTCTTTGAGATTTGTCTTCTGTTTTATGAATCAAACTCATTGGTTCAGAGAATTTTGCAGAAGCTTATTGGATGTTTTGGTTTAACTTATAGTTAATGTCAGAAATGAAAAGCAAATCATTACCATGTTGTTTGTCTTGGTCTTGTGTTGTGTTGTGGTGGAATGATATTACAAAAGAAAATGCATTTTATTTAATGCATACCTAAATGTGGTAGAGTTTGTGGAGAAATATTTATTAATGTGACCGGCTCTTTGTGACTTTTCTCTACGGTGAACTAACGTGTAATAGGCTGACATCGTTCTGCGAGGATATTATGGATGGAACTCAACTCGTGCTTTGGAAGTTGTGGACCAAGTGTTCCCCAAGGTACTTATATATACTAGATTATGATTAATACAGTATAGGATGTTTGGCTTAAAACTTATTTACCTTTTATAGTTAGTTCAAAAGTTCCTATTAAAAACTTCTCAAAAGGATCACAAGTCTCTTTTTCTAAAGCTGTTGCCAGAGAGATGTCTCTTGTTTGCCCTGCTCGAGTTTTTATTTATTGAAAAAGCAGATTTATCTGATTTTATAATGGCTTAAGTCTCCATCTTCATTAAAAAATTTGGTAGCAAGAGTTTAAGTTTGTAAAGAACTATATATCAGTGCACAATGCTTCTGTTTTCTTCCACAATGTTGCCTAAAAAATGGGGCACATACATAGTTTATGACGTGTAATGATGAATGCAGGATGCTGAGGTACAACCTTCACTAGTAGTTGTGTATTTTGGAGGAAACGACTCAATGGCTCCTCACCCTTCTGGTCTTGGACCTCACGTCCCACTTCCTCAATACGTTGATAACATGAAGAATATCGCTCTTCATCTTCAGGTTACTTCCCTTACAATCTTATTTAAATGCCTCTTAAAAGTGGTAACTCTATTTCCTATGAAAACTTGGACTAAATCATTGCACTCTCTGCCTAATCCTCTTATGTTATGTTTCATCAGAGTCTTTCAGACTCAACTCGTATCCTATTCCTTAGTTGCCCTCCAGTGGATGAGGCCAAAGTCCGTCAGAACCAAAGGTAATCAACCTCCATGTCTTTAACCACATCTCTCTGTTGCTCCTGACTTAATCTATCTTCTGTGTTTACTCTCACAAGCCCATACTTGAGCCAAGTGATCCGCACGAACGAGCTCTGCAAGACTTATTCAGACGCTTGTGTGGAGCTTTGCCAAGAGCTAGGCTTACAAGTAGTTGATCTCTTCTCTACTCTTCAGAGAGCAGATGACTGGGAAACCGTTAGCTTCACGTAAGTATCCAAAACATCTTTGATAAGACTTTTGTCAGAGACTCATCAGAATGTTTAATGATGTTTTGGTACAGAGATGGGATTCATTTGTCAGCACAAGGGAGCAAACTAGTGGCTGCAGAGATACTGAGAGTGGTTAAAGAAGCGGAGTGGACACCGTCTCTTCACTGGAAATCGATGCCAACTGAATTCTCCGAGGACTCACCTTATGATCTTGTTTCAGCAGATGGCAAAAACACGGTGAATTCTTCAGAGTGGACTTACTTCTGGGAAGAACAATGGGATTAAAAACATTACAACCATAACAATAAGAAGACTCTTTACTATAATGTAGTGTTGTTTCCTTGGCTGTTTTCAGTTCTAACGTTATTTGTTTATCAGTGTTTGTTTTTGTTATTTGTTTCTCCAAGAAGTACTGATAGGAATCATCAAAGACTCGAAGTTTGTGATTTTGGGTATTTTCTTGAATCTTACTACTATCTAATAATCTCCATTGAGTGACTTTTACCTTTCTTAAGTTTCACTTCACAAGAAAAAGTCTACAAAGTGGAATTCCCATGGTCAAGAAAGGTAGTTGGTAGATATTTATGTGTTGACCAACCATTCTCATCACTTGTATAACATTTATATTTGCAAATAGGAGAAAACTATTTATATAATTGACATTAAAATTCTCTTTTTTTTTTTTTTTTTTCTGGAACACCTGCATTACTCTCTAACCACGAGAGCTAATATTTTTTTATAGAATATTAACTAATGGAAAAATTGGATAGTTAGATGACCGGCTGATTGTGGTCGAGTGGTAAGAATGGTTATCTAACATGGATATAGGTCATGTTTTAGTCAATTTAAATGTTCGCAGAGAGGGTTTATCTGTTGGTTGCACCTTTTTTTGGAGGATTAATTTGGGTTTGTCCATAGGTCTAAGATACTTTAGGTTAATAAAAAAAATTAATAGGAAAATACAGAAGATTAGTTTGAGTTTATCCATAGGTTTAAGATATCTTAGGTTAATCAAAAAAAAAACTAATAGAAAAATATAGAGGATTAGTTTGGGTTTATCCATAGGTCTAAGACACTTTAGATTAATCAAAAAAAATAATAGGAAAATACAGAAAACCAAAAAAAAAACTAATAGAAAAATGAAAAAAAAAACTTATAAGAAAAAAAATCGATAAAAATGAAAATATGAGATTTTATTCACAAGTTTTACAACTTTTAGAGTCTGATTCGACTAGATTGGGCCCTAAACCTGAAATCGTTGAAAACACGGCCCAATAAGGATCTTTCAGCCTTTTTTACCTAAAGCGACGCACCTTCTTCATCAATTACCAAACCTTTTCGCTGACGCAACCTAACTCCCCCAAAAATAAGAAACTTTTTTTCTTTATCCTTCTCTCTCTCTCTCTTCTTCATCTCTTTCCAAACACTTTCTCTCTCCGTGTCCGAACCCATCGTGTCTCAAAAAAACCATTGATACCAAACCTCAATCTTTCACCACTAACAACTGATCTAATACTTTTTTTTTTCCCACACATTCAACTCGTTGCTTTCTTCTCTGTTACAGCTATGGCAGCCGTATCCTCAAACCCTCGCACCGTAGAAGAGATCTTCAAAGATTACAACTCTCGTCGCTCTGCTCTTCTCCGTGCCTTAACTAAAGGTCTCTCTAAACCAAACCCATCTCCAAAGTTTATATTTTTCTTCGTAATTGCTAACTTTTTCGGTTTTTTTTTTCAGATGTTGATGATTTTTACTCTCAGTGCGATCCGGGTAAGTTAGGTTTAGTCTTTAGGTTAATAAAGTTCTCTCCTTTTTTTGATTTTTGATTTTTTTTTTAATTTTGTGTAGAGAAGGAGAATTTGTGTTTGTATGGCCATCCTAATGAGTCGTGGGAAGTGAATTTACCGGCGGAGGAAGTTCCTCCGGAGCTACCTGAGCCAGCGCTGGGGATCAATTTCGCGAGAGATGGGATGCAGAGGAAAGATTGGCTCTCTCTTGTTGCTGTTCATAGTGATTGTTGGCTTCTCTCTGTTTCTTTCTACTTTGGTGCTCGCCTTAATCGCAACGAGAGGTATCTTTTTTGTGCTCTCTCTCTTTTTTTTTTGACAATTTAAGTGTTTTTTAGCTTTGATGAAACCAAGTCTTGAACTTGTTTACTTGATTTCAGTAGACTTTGTTTTTCCTCTTCTTCTTATTACATGAAACCACTGTTATGTTTCTTGGTCTTTTAGCTCCTGACTGAAGTATGAAATCTATAGTCTAAGAAAAATCGACGCTTTTGTAATTTATCATTAGGCTATTTTTTCATGTGGCTTCTTGACTCATATCTATGGATTTCTTAATTGTGTTGCGTTACTTCATCTGTTCTAAACTTTTCTCAGCTCTTTCTGGCAATTTTTTGGGATACTGTAATGGCAAAACTTTGAAACTTATTTCTTTTTTGTTGTTGTTGTCATTACATACTTACTCTCTCCCTTATATCTTAAAAGCTTGACATTTGCGATGTTATAACATCTTACAACTGATCTTTTTGTTGAAGCATGCATGTGATGAGTTTCATTGTTACATGTGCAAGCTTATCTTAGTAACTATCAAACCAGTGCATTGAATTGCCAAGGACTTTGCTGAAAAAAGCATATGTGAAAGTTGCATAGTGACAAAAATGGCTCTTTCATTAGTACTAATGAAATAATCTTTTAATTATTATCGTTTCCACTTTCTTCTTCTGAAGCTGGTTTTAGCATTTAATGAAAGCTGAACTTTGCTTTAGCTCACCACTCACCACTGGACACTAGCTTATCTTAATTATTTTAATGATTATCTTTTGTTTTTGCCCTTTGATGTGTGTGGATCTTGCTTAGGCTATCTTTTTGTGTAGCTTGACTCATATTTATGGACGTCTTGAACTCTTGATTGTTGCGTTACATCATCCGTCTAAACTGTTCTCAGCTCTTTCTAAGCATATTTGGATGTTGTAATGGCAAAACTTGGAACTTATTTCTTTTTTTTTGTTGCCATTACTTGCTTACTCTCCCTTGTCTTAAAGCTTGGCATTTGCAATGTTCTAACATCATACAACCGATCTTTTTGTTGAAGCTTACATGTGATAAATTTCCATGTTTCATTGTTACATGTGCAAGTGCAAACTTATCTTAGTAACTATCAAACCGGTGCATTGAATTCCCAAGAACTTCCCTGAAAAAAAAAAGATATGTGAAAGTTGCATAGTGACAAAAAATGGCTCATTCATTAGTAGTAGTACTAATGAAATCATCTTTTTTGGTTATTTTGATTATTATCTTTTCCACTCTTCTTCTTCAAGAGGGAAGCTGGTTTTGGCATTTAATGAAAGCTAGCTAGACTCTGCTTTAGCTCACCAGCCACCACTAGTTTTCATTATACATGAACATGCCTCTATAGTCATAGCTCTCTTATTATTTTATTGCGCCATCTTATCTTCAGTGGACAAGTAAGATTCATGTTGCAGACTTCATTTTTATGGATGGAGAATCTTAACCTACAATGTTAGAAATAATACTGGATAAATATCAAGTATCTCTTTGTTTATTTTTCTTAATCAAAGTTGTAGCTCTCTCTTTAGTCTTTTCCAATGTATTGTCTACTCATGGATAGAGTTTTATGTTCATAAACTCATATTTTCAATTTGTAGGAAGCGGTTATTCAGTCTGATCAACGATCTCCCAACCCTCTTCGATGTAGTGACTGGTAAGAAACCCATCAAAGACAACAAGCCAAGCTCTGATTCCGGAAGTAAATCCAGAAATGGCACTAAGGTACACTAAGATAGAAACCACCTTTCCTTTTGGTATTTGAAGATTTTTGGGTTCCTATTCTATAAAAAATCAAAAATGGGTTTTGTTGCAGAGATCAATAGAAGGGCAGCCAAAGAGCACAACACCAAAACTAATGGAAGGGGGCTACGAGGATGAAGAAGAAGAAGAGGAAGAAGAAGACGAGCATGGAGACACTCTCTGTGGAATCTGTGGAGGGAATTACACACAAGATGAGTTCTGGATTTGCTGTGATGTTTGTGAACGTTGGTACCATGGAAAATGCGTGAAGATCACTCCTGCCAGAGCAGACAGCATCAAGCAGTACAAATGCCCGCCTTGCTGTGCAAAGAAAGGAGGAAGATAGTGATGATGATGTTCACCTCCCACACACTCTGGTTCTCATGTTTTAATGATAATATTAATCAACCTTTTTCTTCTCTTTTTTTTTTGTTGTTGTTTCTTTTAACCTTTTAATTTCAAAGCATACTGAACTCTTCTCTTGAGATCTCCAGAAATGGATTTCAAGAAAGTTGAGAGAGAGTAGCAACTGTTTGAGTATTATTATTCATATGAGAAAACTGGTGTGTCCCATCAAATGTGTCATGTGATGTTTGATTTTTTTTTTTTTTTTTTTTGCTATGTCTTTTGTAGGGTCTAATGAGATGTAAAACCATTTAGTTTTTTGGTTGACAACAACCAGAAGAATAGATAATGAACAAAATCATCTAAACTAGAGACAGGTATTTGTAAACAAACCCTAATCAAACCTATAATTGTGTTTCGAAAAAAAAAATCAAACCCATAATTGCCCAAAGCCCAATGGTTACAATCTGCTCATGGTAAAAAGGTTTCCAATCATACCAAAAGCTACATAATGTTTATAACGTCATTAGATCAGAATCATCTCCAAGTTCAAATCTAATATGTTAAAATCAAATATATAAATTGCAATTTGATATATCTTAGTGTGTTTATCTTCGATAAAAATATATAAACGTGTATTCAAATTTTGGATTGGTTAACAATATTTTCAACCTATATACTTACTTTTGAATAACACTTAATTGTTGTGGTTGGATTTTTAAGTCAATCCTAATCCCCAATCTAATAGACCGCCCTATTAGTTTGATTTATAGGCTAGCTTGTATATATTAATAGTAGCCAAAAAGAGATGCATGTATCATGTATGAGAGCGATAAGCCAGCATGTGGCTCAACACATCCACACGGTACACAATTTTAGTTTTGGGTATTGAAGCGTCCAATCAATTCTTCTAATCTTCTTAACCGTTACTAATTATAAGCCCTCAAGTCCAAACTATATAATATAAATAACTTATATCAGATCTTACAAGATTTTACAATATGGTCAACACGAAGTGTCTATTATTATATGCAGAAATTAAAACAACTAGATACATTATATTCATTGCGTTCACATGTTCATCATTCATCATTTGGGGTAGTATGTAATGCTAATTCTTATAGAAAAATATTATCGGGTACATTAGTTGCTTAATTATTACACTTAGACTAGAGGAAGCATGATCATCCTTTAGTATGCTTCAACAATGATCATAACATCATTATGTAATAGTGAGGTTTAACAATAGTTTTCTTATACTTCCAAAACAATATGTTCTCTCGGTCAAATCTTTCAGTCAAGTCTTTCAGCCAAGTCTATCAGTCAAGTCTTTCGGATTATAACAACACATTTTGTCATTTTAATAAACAATTATTGGCCAATTAAATAGAACCGTCAGCAGTAAATCGGGATTAGGTAATCGTGTTGGAAAAAGAGAAAGGGAACATACAGGATAATGATAAATGATATTCCCTCCATTGCAAATTATAAATAGTTTTTAAAAATAATGTTTCAAAATATAAATTGTTTTCACATTTTAATGCACTTTTTGTATTTATTAAATATTGTCTAACTAAAAAAAGAATACATATTTTTTTATCATTGGTTGAACATATGATACTTTTGAAAACTAAATTTTTTGAAAATATTGATGTTTTTAACTAAAACTACTTACATTTATAAATGGAGATAAAATGACATAGTCTACATTTATTGATCACTTTTATATATCATTTAATACAATAAAACTGTAAAGATATAGCAACTACAAAATAGCGAAATTGCATGAACGATAAACTATGATAGTATCTTAGGTATTTTATTGATTTATTTTCATCTCCAAATATAGATATTTCATAACTTCGATATCCTCATCAAATAACCTTCATATGATATATTATTCGGTTTACACATTGGTCTAAAGAAGATTAAGGTATACACATAATGAACATTGCATTTCAACTTCATCAAACGTGCAAGCCATGACCATCCTCCTCAACATGCTCATTTGCGAGTGCTCTTTGAAAATGTATTGGAATAGTTGTTATGTTGGGTTAATGACTATTCAAGTAGTTACAATATGTTTATTTAGACAATCACCCTGCATAAATCGTTTGATGTTATGAAAGTGACTTGAGTCATCTTAACTTTTCCGAAAAAATATTACAATATATATGTTTTCAAAGTTTTGGCATAAAGTTGAAACTGATTGTCATATTAATATGTTGTAAGACATGTCGAAAACGTGGGATTGTAACTAGGATTATCATCTTTCACCAACTGCCAGTCTTTTGTCAACATTCTATTCATACTGGTAGCTGTTTTGGTTTCTGAAAATATAACCGAATATGCTGTAATTTAAAATAAATGGAAATACAGAACGGAAGACAGATCTACAAAAATGACGAAATTCTTAGGAAATTCTTAGGGAAATACAAAAATGACGAAATTCTTAGGGAAATATTATCCAGAGTTTCTTAAGACGAAATTCTTAGGAAAAATATAAAAAACTGTTTTTTTAATTAAAACGCTAAGAAATTATTTTCAAAATACTATTTAAAATTTTTCAACAAAAAAACAATTTTTTTATATTTTCATAAGAACCATGCCTTAAAAAAACTCTGGATAATGATTTTTTTTAGACCTTACGCTATAAATAAGGAGAAAAATGTGAAGCAAAAAGGTTAAAAGAAAAATAGGGTTACCAAGGGCAAGCTCCAGCGAAAATAAACCATATCTACATGCGCCTACGTCTTCTCCACCAAGCGCTCCTTGAAGTTGTTCTTCTTTTAGTCTCAAGTTTGACAATAGTATCCTAATAAATCTAATGGCTAGCCTCACTAGTTCTTTTTGGTTGTTGAACATAATCACTAGTTCTTCACCGTAGTCATCCATCACTTCTCTATAATATCCACTATAAGTCTATAAACCTTTGTGTTAAAAAAAAAGAAAGTCTATAAACCTTTTTTTTCTAAACAGAAAAACAAAATGTCCAACTAGTTTGGAGCATCCCAATATTAATTTCAAAACTTCGCCATAAATGATCCAGAAACAGTCAAGTCTTCCAGCCAAGTCTTTCAGTCAATTGTTTCTTATTTCTTTCTAATAAAATCAATATAAAATTATATTCAAAACAAAAACTCTCAAGTTTTCAAATATAACAATACATTTTTTCATTTAGTATTGAATTATTATTGGCCAATTAAATATGAACAAGGTAATCGTTGTTGGAAAGAGAGCAATAACAGGACGATGATAAACTTTATAAAATAACACATTCATTGATAATACATATTTTTATATTACAATAAAACTGAAAATACATAGCAACCACAAATTATCCAAATCACACGAACTATAAACAACGATAGTATTTTTGACATTTTATTGATTCATTCTAATCTCCAGCATATATCTCCATCGATCATATTAGCATCTTCTATTATATTACTGATGCTCCATAACTTCGATGTCCTTACCAAACAGCCTGTTCAGATAATATATCCTTCAGTTTACACATTGTTCAAAAGATATCGAAGTATACTATACACATTGAGTTACATAAGCAAGTAGACTTACATTTCGTCTCTTTATCCATTTACGAGGGATACATGAGACTCAACGTAGGTTTTGCCACGAGGACCTTGCGTTCGAATGAAGAGTCTGTATTCATCGAAGGACATGGGAGGATACAAAGGAGGATTAGTAGCGCTGACAAGTTGTTGCAGTGGTTGGATAGGAATGTCACTCTTAGGGTTATAGAAGAATGCAAGTGACATCCTTTCTTTCTGCGAGTTCACTATCACTCGATGCTCCGAACTCTTGTAAATCGAATTGCTTAGTATCTGCACCGTACATAAATTGCGTTTAGAAGTATGTTTAGCGTCAAAACAATGCAAAAGTATATAATATTGCATAATGAACATTACACTTTTCAACTTCATCAAACGTGAAGCCATGACCAACCTCCTCAATATGCAAGATTTGGGTTCATGACTATTCACGTATTTACAATTTTTTAAATTTAAAACCATATATAAATAGTTTGATGTGATGAAAGTGACATGAACCATTATAGTTTTTTTTTGTTAAATATTAAAATTGGCATAAAGTTGAAACTGATTGTCATATTAATATTTTGTACATGTCAAAAACGTGGGACTAACTAGGATTATCCTCTTTTACCAACTGCCGTATAAACACATGATTTGCACCCTTTTGTCAACATTCTATTCATATTCGTAGCTACTTAATTTGTGTGGTTTGTAAATAAATGGATATAGACAACGGAAAATAGATCCACGAAAAAACGAAGAAGAAACTTAGACCTCACGCAATAAATGAGAAAAAAGTAAAGCAAAAACGTTAAAAGAAAAATAGGGTTACCTGCATTTGATCGCCTAGATTGACGACAAAAGCATTGGGGAGAGCATTGACGGTAATCCACGTGTCACCGTGACGGACTTGAAGGCCGGCAACATGATTGTCCGGCAAGAGGATGGTAATGCCACCGGGATCGGAGTGAGGGGAGAGGCCGAGGGCAAGCTCCGGTCGAGGGCATTTCGGGTAATAATTAACCCTCATGCATGCACCAAAGCCTTCTACACCAAATGCTTCTTGAAGTTGTTCTTCCTTTACTCCCAAGTTTGACGAAAATATCCTCATAAGTCTCTCGCCTAGCTTCACTAGTTCTTCACCGTACTCTTCCGTCACTTCTCTATAATATCCATTAAACATAAAAACATAACGACCAACTAGTTGTCATAATGATAGTTTTCTTTTAATTTTGCAAGAAAAAGTCCAACATCAATTTTCAAGACTTCGCCATAAATGATTCAATTAAAAATAAAGAGGTGACTAGGATTGGGCATTCAGGTCCTTGGGGTCTTGAAATTGATCATTTATGGCAAAGTCTTAAAAATCAGAGTAAAATAATGATAGATGATTATTTAAAGCGAAAATTATTATCTATTTCCGGTCGGTTGCCATGCGGTATTTTCGGGTCCGGTAAATTATCAAGGTCTAGAAGTAACTAAGTTAAAAAGATCAGGTCTACTTGCTATAAGTTCTCAGTTTTCATATTAAAAGGAAAGTTCGTTATAATAGTATAAACAAAAGTACAAACCCCATATTAAGAAAACAAAAGTAAAAGAAGATGGGAGACTTTGTCAATTTACCTAATGTTTGATGGTAAAGAAGGCCATTTGTTGAGATCTTTCAAGACAAGAGGAAGAAAGTTGAGAAAGTAATAATCATTCCAATCAAGAAGTGCTCCTTCTTCCACACCCAATCTGCTTCCGTAACCTTCATAGGTACTTGGGGAGTTTGAGTAAGCTTCTTTGGCTTCTGCAGGTAAATGGAAGAAGCGTCTCCAAGCTTCTCTAGCGGCATCCATCAGCTCCGGCCTCACCCCATGGTTGATCACCTTAAAATAGGACCATTTGTGTGTATAAATCGATCAGTCATATTCTTATACTGAATCAAGACTGATTTTTAAAACAAAAAAGAAACAGATTTTGGTGCAAATAAAAATAAAACCTCATAAATTTTTTGGTTAATATTATATACTTATATATATACACTAAACCCAAGTTGTATTATGAAAAGATATTATATATATAATTCTTGCTAAAATTAGTGATTATTTATATTGTAAATTATACTGAACCAAAAAAAAAGCATTTTTCAAACCCGTAAAAACTACAATCAAAACGAAAACAAAAACCAAACATCAAATTTTATTTTTTACCTGAAAGAAACCAAACTCACGGCATGCCTCCGACATCCTCTTTTTGTCCTCTTGGTTGCCGGATAAGATGCTGCTTAGGTCTATGACTGGGATATTCATGGCGTCAGCTTCCAGTGGGTAGTCGACAATGATGGTTTCATTAGCGCGTTGAGACGGTGGCTTGATGAAACGGTCGGGGACGGTGGTGAGGTTGCTCTCGGCTAGGGATTGCACTCGGATGATTGGTTCTGGCCACATTTCTCCGAGGCCTTTCTTGGTCTTCATCTCGATCTTGTCGGTGGTCTCCTTCTCGATCATGATGCTGTCTTGGTTGTTCATCTTTTCCGTTTTGGATTTTAATGATATTGCTCTTGTTCTTTTACTTGTTCATGTTAAGTTGTGAAGCATTGTTATCTATTTATAGAGTGTGTGGTTATAGACATAGAACGTGAAAACCATGAAGGGTAAAACTGTGGGTTAACACAAAATAAAATAAAATAAAAAGATAATGAATGTTTTTCCTCGTGGTTTTGTGAATATTAGCTAGCCATTTTAGGATTTTAGCTATTCATTCATTGTCGAAAGTAACTGAAGAAACCGTAACCGATGATGAAAACAAGAAAGCGTAACCGACGAGGGAATCCGGAGTCGAGACCATGGGATTGCGGCCATGTGTTTGTTAATTTGTGAAACGTGTATAACATGTTCATACATGTTTTCTACTACGTGGTATAAAAAGATAGAAAATGATATGGAACGTGTATAGCATGTTTGTTTAAAGTTCTTTGTTCGGTTACTGTTTGAAAACACTTGGTAGATATTTTTATCAACAAAAGATCTGTAATAGTTTACAGTAGTTTCTTTTATAATCTTCTAATTGATGTAAACCAAGATAAGTATATAACTTAGGTGCATTCTGCTTGAAAATGTTGGGGAATTAATTTTTGTAGTCATGTTTGAATTTTGTTTGAAAATAATTGGTGTTGTTTAATCAAAAGTTTAAATATTTTAAGAAATTTAATGTCACAATTTTTGTAAATAACATCAAATTCAAATTTTACAGATTACAGAACCTAGAGAATGAACCTAGAGAATCCATAATGGATTAATTTGACTAAACATTTTGGAAGAAATATAGACCAATAGTTAAGGAAGAATAGTTCCTGGTTCTTCTTACTACGTTTGGCTTTGTATTGCTCGTTGCATTATAATTTAGCTGACAAGTTTTATATGTCCAGTTAAGGTTCACATTCCCGTCATGAACGCTAAACCGGGAAGAGTTCTTAACCTAACCATTGCGCATGCCAGAGTCACCATCAACCATACCCTTCTACGTTCCCTATATTGTTTCATGGTGAATAGCATTTTTTCTCCTTTTGCTGACGTTTACGACCTTATCTCTAAATTGTCGTAATGTCTCCATTTCTTTTCCTTCACATCCTCCTGCAAAATGAGTCTGATATGAACTTGTTAAACCAAGCCATAGAGAAGTCACTTCAAACAGCTTGTAAAACAGAAAACCTCAAAGCCTTTTCTCAAACTCCTCACCGCACAAGCAGAAGCGGACCGACAGCTATGAAAGACGGTCAGCTGACACAATTTAAAATACAAAAGTTTGATTTTTTAAGCTATTACATACGAAATTCATTAGTTCTGGTGGTGTTTTTACTATGGGTGACACCTTTTAACCCAGGTTTAAGTACTTTTGACACCCAGTTTTTGCTTCATTTTATGTTTAAGATGTAAAGTTCATTTAATTTTGATCCATATTTAAAATAATCTTGGATCCGCCACTGTGCACAAGGTGCTGATCTGGAGGGTTCGAATTCTAAATAACAAGCGCCACGCCTCTTCAGACTCATGCTCAATGAAATAGTACGCATTTAAGAGTACTAGATGCATAGTCCCCGCGCAAGCGCGGAGGTTGTATACATTGTTGATGTATTGTATAGTTTTGTGTATGAGACTTTGCTGTTTTCTTTTTAACATTTGTTTATCTGGCTTATCTATAATGGTGATGAATGAAACATTAGAAGTCACACAACTTGATTAGTCTGATAAAAGAATAAACATTAAATTCATATGGGTTGATATTTTCATATTTTATCTTCGTAGTGATTTATCGAGCATTCCCTTTATATAGATTTTATCGAGCATTACTTTTATTAGTGCTTTCATGTAAAAAAATAATTTAATGGAGACAAGACAAAAAAGGACATGTGTTTATTAGTGTAATTTTATTTCTGAAATTATGTTCTGTATATATATATATATATTTTTAATTGTGATGTATATGAGATTTATGGTCGATCTGAATGGTTCGGGGTAAATATTTATTATTGAAAAAATATGTTTTTATTTTATTTGATGATTATAACTGAATTGAAATGATATTGGAGGTTAGAACATGATAACCTTTCTTATAAAAGTATCTAAGATGGTGTCATAAAGTTTCAAATCCTTAAGCCATTTTGTATCCCAACAACCAGCATAAAAAATCATTATGAATCTCCCTAAGCTTTTAGGTATCCTCAAAAGCCCAAATTAAAAAAAAATTACATGCAAGCACTGCATTTCGAACCCGCACACTCGCGGTACCAACTTCTCCTCACCAACTTACACCACTGAGCCATTTCATCACTCATCGATAACATTCACTCTTACAAAATGTTATACGTTTTTGTTTTCCCTAATAACACGCGCGGGACCCGCAAACTTGCTGACATGGACACGCTGAGGAGCTTCAAAAGTGTATTATTATTATATAGATTTCCAATCCCACTCCATAATTTACTGTAAAATGGAGTGAGAAATGGAGTGATGAATAATCAAAAAAGTGATTACTTCAAAAATGGAGTAATGAGTTTTTTGTTTGTTCATCTCTCAATTTCTTACTTCATTTTGCAATAAATTATAGAGTGGATTGGATATACTCAAGTGGTTATCTAATTCTGTATTGTCATTGTTTTTTTTTAGAATATTATAAAAGTAGACATTTTTCTAGGAAAAAATATATGATTCTCTCTTTTTCGTTTTAGTTGTCTTTGTATAATTAATTTTTTATTTCATTCGTTTACAATTTCAATACAAAATTTGTTAACTTTCTATGTTATTTATTTATTTTTATTGCTTGATATGTGGTTAGAATTATAATAATAATGTTTTATTTAGAAAATATACAAAATTAAATATTTTTTAATTTGTGTACATAAATTTAAAATAACAACTAAAATGAACCAAATAAATAAGGTATAAGTGTCACTTTTTCATCTCTACTAAATGAATTTGCATATGTATAATTTCATTAGAACAACATTAAAGGATTCATTAACCGTAACTTCTCATTGAGTATCAAATGATCAAAAGCTATTAAAAATTAAAAGGCATGAAAAGAAAATATGAACCGATTTCTATTTAAATGTATGCAAGAAGTTGGTGAGAACCTCTTTCTCCACTCGGCATTGTCTTTGGTTTAACCATCTAATTAAAATTTAAATTCAGTCATTTAATCGTAACTAATTAATAGTAAGATTTTAGTCTTAATAACCTCATTTTAACATACTGTGCATTACATCCGTAAGTGAACGGTCGCTTTTATTATGTGTAAGCATCGAACGGTGAGTCGGTGACTATCCATCCATATTTATGCAACTATGTGATGATAATTATTGATCTTATGAAAAAGTTACAATAAACACAAAAATCAAGAGTGTAAGTGATGATTATATATTTAGGTGCCCTGGGAATATTCACTACGCGCTTTTTGTGTATTCAAGAAACTAATCAAACTCTATTCGTTTATTACTTTGCCAACCATATGTTTTAAAATACTTTAGTTCGGGATTACTTGTTAGAACATTTAAGTGGAATTTAAAATACATGTAATCCTTAAGAAAGAGAGTCGATTTCGATACTATGGCAGAACTCGTACTAATAAATGGTCGGTTAACCATGCATGTTCCCTATATAGAAGGCCGGCTATTTCTTTTTTGACTAAATACAAGGCCAACTTCCCAATAATGGAAACATGATTCATTGAATTTGGAAGGCACATGTACATACGTAACCAACTACATATCGAACACCGAAGTTTGCTCGTCTGAAAATTAATTAATTTAAAGAGGTAAAGATGTAAAATCTATTAAATCAGAAATATTAGATTGTATCTAATATTTATTTTGTAAGTTTTAAATTAAATACATTTTTATTGTATAGTTAAACCTTATATTAAATTACTAATATTCTTTTCTTTATAATACTATTCATGTTTTCAAACAATATATATATTCTTTTGACGGACAATATAATGATTTTCTTATACTATTATCTATGTTTCCAAACAATATATTGTTATTCAAATAAACATTGAATTATGTAGCAATCTAAACTTACGAGTAATTACAAACCAATGCAAATATTAGAACATACATACATAAATAAAAATCAGGTCAGACAAACTATAATATTAATAAAGGAAACGGTAAAAATACAAATCAAATAAACATTGAATCTATGTAGCAATCTAAACTTACGAGCAGTTACAAACCAATGCAAATATTAGATCATACATACATAAATAAAAATCAGGTCAGACAAACTATAATCCAAAAAACACAAAAGCAATTTTAGAAAAAACAGTAACAGGAGACATATAGATATAAAAATAATATTCTCTCTGTTTCAATTTAGTTATCGTTTTGGGTTTTTGCACACAATTTAAAAAAATATTTATTTTTGCATATTTTCTATAAAACACACACACAATTACCTAGACATCTAACCACATTTTAATCAATAGAAAATATAATAGTAGATAACGTTAATATATTTTGCAATGAATTATAAAACAGCACTTAGTTTGAAACGAAAATTTTATTTTACAACGACAACTAAATTGAAACGGAGGGAGTAATATCATTAGAAGAAATATCCCATTATAACCAGTATATCAATATAAATATGAAATGGGATGAAACCGAGAACTGAAACTCGAAGGTAAATATAACCATTGTGATGTCAATGATAGACAGATTTGACTTTAAATTGATGAAAGAAGTTAAAAAGGTAATGGGATGAAACCGAGAATTGAAAGGAATTAAAACTGTTAACATAAAGCTTTAGAGATCTGAGTAAACTGTATCATGAAAAGATCATTTGCGAACATCAGAAACTATAAATAGGAGGAAATGGGATGAAACTCAAGGCTTAATAGAAAATAGTTTAGAAAAAAAAAACTCAAGATAAATATAACTACTATGATGTCAATATTAGACAAATTTGACTTTAAAATGATGAAGTTAAAAAGGTAATGGGATGAAACCGAGAATTGAAAGGAATTAAAACCGTTAACATAAAGCTTTAGAGATCTGAGTAAACTGTATCATGAAAAGATCATTTGCGAACATCAGAAACTATAAATAGGAGGAAATGGGATGAAACTCAAGGCTTAATAGAAAATAGTTTAGCAAAAAAAAAAACTCAAAATAAATATAACTACTATGATGTCAATATTAGACAAATTTGACTTTAATATGATGAAGTTAAAAGGTAATGGGATGAAACCAAGAACTAAAAGATATTAAAACCGTAAACATAAAGAAAGATAATTTGAAAGGGATCAGACACATCATTTCCCAAATTAACATAAACAAGGAAATCTTAAAGAAAGGATATGGTTGTAGATATGTGAGGAGAGAAAAAAAACAAATTAACAGTAGTTTTAGAAGAACTATAAACACTAGATACAAGAGATCTATATGACAAGACTATGATTATCGCAAGATTTAAAGAGGTTTCTTAACCAAAATTAGTGGTGGGACTCACCGAAAATGACAAAAACCAGTGACATAAGGCGTGAGATAAAAATTGTTTGGAGAAAGTTTTTTGCACTGTTTGCAGGCTTCACTAACATGTGGTGGTCTGCGGTTGATTCGATTTTAATTTTTTTTTTAATGAGACAAAAAGCAGTTTTTTTTTGTTTTTAAAAGAAATCGACAAACAATAATTGCGTTAATCATGCTCTAATATAAGTTATGACATAAGAACATATTTGACTTGGAAAAGAGTTTAAGAAGAAACTGGATCTCTGCACAGAATCCAAGGAAAGGAGAAGTACAAGAGCTCTATATGCAAGTCTGGCAAGCTGTTTAGGGTTTCCGTTTAAACGATTGATAGTTGACGCCAAGAGGTGGAATAGTCTTAGAGCATTCGCAACGGGAGTCTTTAGGGGGGAGTTCTTAGGAACAAAATAATTAAATAATCGGTAGACTCCATAAAAAGTTAAGGATTCGATCCTTAAAATCCCTAAGTAATGACTATTTCTTAGCGAATCCTTACACTATTTGCGGGTCTCCAGGACACGTGGCAACCCGCGAATGGTCATCTTTTTTTTTCTTTTTTTTTAAAAAAAAATTCTGAAATATCCTTACCAAATCCGAAATACATTTTTTCTTAAGAACTCCTATAAGTCTCACAGTTGCGGATGCTCTTACAATAAACAAACTACCTTTAGGCACTGTTGTCTGAAAGTGACAACTGTTTGTCGACTAATCCAGCTTCCAAAGCTGCATAAGTATTTGATAGAAGCAAAACATGAACATGGTTACCAGCAGGCAGCACTTTGTGGCTGATCAAGCTCAAAGATTCTCCTAGCAACTACCGGTGCAACCTTAGTAGTCCTTCGTTTTCCAGTACAACTACCCAAAAACGGACAACATGTACTACTATCATGAGGTTCCATAAAGGGAATAAGATATGTTCAGAGTTCTGATGTATAGTATTGGTTGACAAAAAAGAATCTTCACTTTGAATGTGGAACTAGTCTATGACTGTAGTTGAAACTAACCTTAGAATACAAAACCAACCAAACTGAATAATGTTTGGTTTAATCATCCAAATACAAAATATGTATAAAAAAAACCTTGAGAATGGTGAATCTAATGACAATGCAAGGTATCTTATATATATATATATATATATATATATATATAGCTTCAAGTATTGAAAATAAAGTTGGGGTTTCCATCTGATTGTATTCAGAGATACAGGTAACACAACGAATTGACATTAATAAGCAAAAAAAAATCAGCTGATAAATCTAACAGCTTCTCTCTCTCTCTCCTGTGCTTGCTTCATTTCAATTTGCTGTTACCTTGACCTCTCCATAGAGATTAGGATCTGCTTCATAGTATACAACATCTCCTTCATCGCTCACAAAATGATCTTCTTTAATGCTTTTAGCTAAGATTCCCAATAAATGTAATGGCAAAGGTCCAGACTTATCAGGCTCCCTGTAATACTTCCCTAATACTGGTTTAGCTGCTTCTGTCTGCAAAGGAGAAACAGAGTAACCAAATACACACACACACACAGATAAGTTTCTAAGCTTCTGTAGCATGAACACACCAAAATAAACCAAGTCTTTTGTTTCAGTTACTTACTGCTTCTACTAGATGATAATGTGGGATCTGAGGGAAAAGATGATGTATCACATGAGTTCCAATGTCGTGATGAATGTTGTTGATAACTCCGTAGTCACGGTCCAATGTTGTAAGTCCTCCTCTCAAGTAACTCCATTCCTGTTTGCGAGAGAAACATGAGAGTTTAGGCAACCTTAAAGAGAAAGATAGCAACGTGTTGTCTACAAAGGCCATAGACTGCATAATTTTTTTTACCTTCCCACGGTACCAAGGGAGCTTATCTTCATGACCATGGTGATGCAGGTAAGTCACAAAGTCCAACCACATTACATTTATCTGTATTTGACATTTAAAAACAACTATCAGTTAAGGCAAAGGAGACGACAATAGCAAATTGCTTAATCCGAAACATGGGAGTAACAGAGACGCATTACCCAGTACGGAACTACATAAAGTTTGAGCATTTGCATTGGACCCATCACAAAGTTGAGACAGACAAGCAGAGCAGCCATTGCAGTCCAACAAGCAGTGGAAGTAAGAACATCATTTCTCTCTTTAGGGAGGAACAAGTCGCTGTCTGGATGGTAATGAGAACCCTTCTTCCCTGGACTTCGAGCCCACTGAAACATATGAATAAAAACATGAGCTTTGTTTTTTATTTGATGTGTGTCAACTTAAGACAGTAACAAACATAAGAATTTGTCTTACCAAGTAGAAAGGGTAAGCGAGCATCACGAGAGGTAGTGTAAATCTAAAGAATTTGGTCGGTTTGTCCAAACTCTTGTAGATTTTCTCAGACATCTGCAGTAACAATAAAAACAGTATAAATAAAAACTTCATCTAAAGAGACACCAAAAAACCGTGTTAGCAAACTTACAGGATGCCAAGATTCATCGTTCTCAACATGACCATGGTTCTGGTGGTGAGTTCTGTGGCTAATTCTCCTGCATATCAATCAAAGTCATAAACTTTAACATGTAGAAGACCAAAATAAAATCTGCAAGTTGCTACTAAAAGAATGGTTTGAAAGCAAAACTAACCAGCCATGGTAAGGAACCAGAATTGAGGAATGAAGAAGGTGTCCCACTACACTGTTCAACCGCGGATCATTTGAGAAGCTACCATGTCCACTGAAACCAACAAAGTTTTTGACAATTAGAAAGAAAGTAAGAAAATCTGTAAAACCAATAACTAGCTGCCAACTAAGTTTGTCCACAAGCAACATGATGATGATAGTTTGATACCTCAGAACAATTGAAGTCAAAGGGTTAAAGGTGTAAAGTCAAGATTTTTAATTCAATTAGTTCCAAATTGAAAAAGTAACAATCATCCAAAGTTGACCAAATCAGAGTCTAAACAAAACAAAACAACAAAAAGATAAGATTTTTAAATATTTATTTACCAGTCATGGCCAAGAACAAAGAGAGCCCAGAACATGGTTCCTTGAGCAAACCAATAGAGAGGCCAAACAATCCAATTGTTAAGGTAAGCAGCTCCAGCAGCCAACGCAAATACAATCGCAACATCTCTCACAACATAACTCATAGACTTCCATGGATTCTTAACCCAACAATGCTTAGGTATAGCTGCTCTGATGTCAGCTAAGTTAAACGGAGGAGGCGCGCCTGGGTCGAATCTCTGCGTTTGGGGCTCTTCCTCCTCTATTGGAAGAGAGGAGGAGTCAACTGTTGTTAAAGGTGTGGTCACATTCAACGCCCAGTTTCGAGAATTCAGACCAAACTTGAGAGAAGAAGATGTTTTGGAAGAAGGGGATTGTCGGAATTTGAAGTAGGTGGGTTTGTTGTAAGAGAGGGAAGTGGATCTGGGTGTGGTGTAGATTCTGGGGAGTGGTCTTATTCCACATTCTGATAAGACCAGGTTCGCCATTACCAGAGCTCTCTCTCCTCAGAAGAAAGAGAAAAGATTCTCTCTCTCTCTCGGTCTGTTATTAAATGAGAGGTTAAGAGAGAGTAAGGAAGAGATAATGTAATGAGAGATTGATTTATATATCTATCTTCCACCACTTGAGCTAAAGGTGTAAGCTTTGTGCTTCTTGTTGCTTGTCGTGTCTCGACCTCTCTCTCTAGCTTCCTCTGGTTCACAAAGTGTTTTGCTTTCTGAGGTTGTGAGTTAGATTACAGATATGCAACTAAATTCACACAATGGGTTCTGTTTCGTGTGGGGAAATTTTGAATTTTGACCACAAAGTTTATTATTCAACGCGTATTTAGTTGATGTGGTTGTTCTTTTTTTGTAGAGATGAAGTGAAAGAAAGAAAAAGAATGAGGCATATGTTTCATGACCTATAAAAAAATATAACAAAATATAAAGTTAACTTTTCGAATTGAGGCACATTATTTAAATGACTAAACATTGTTAGCAGAGAAAAGTAAAAGAGTATTTCGGCGAAGAAGCCATCTTTTGATAGTTTGAGTCAACTACGTTTCTATGTGTTTATATGTTTACACACATCAATTGCTGCTTGTGCTTTTATTTTGATTGGGACTAGCAGTAATGTCAATAGTAGTCATTGTAGTCAAATACCTAAGTGGAGTTTGATTTTATTTTGGCGATGTTGATTTCAGTGATTAATGGGAATCAGTGATTGGCAATGGTAGTTAATGTGGATCATTGTTGGATATAGAAATCGAATCATTATCAATTTATCATTATACATGGTTGAGAGTGTTAACCTTAACCATAAAGACAAGTCTTCATCTTCTATATTTCAAAGAATGTCTCCCGCATAATCCTCGCAAACAAATGTGGCCTATATTTTTGTTATACATGAAAGATATTGTTGTTGGGCCTTATCCCCAGTTGTCTTCTTTCTTTTGTTGGGTTTTACATTCGTTCGTTTAAGAACCAATGTGACATTACTTGTTGGGCGAATAGACAAGATGATCAATACGCAAGTTATTCATAAAACGATACCAATAACCAAAGACAATGATGAGTTACACCTACAATTTCAGATGTTACACGATGAAGACATGTATTTTTATCAGACCTCATCGTCACCCTTAAGTTCAGAACATATCCGTTCCCCTGGATCAGACAACGTCTTCTCCCTTAGTTCAGAACACGCCTGATCCGCTAGATCAGACAACAACTTTACTCCCTCTGGAAGAGAGGAAATCTTTTTCTTTAGATCAGACCACATCCTTACTACCTTAAAATCAGACCACATTTTTTCCCTTAGATCTTGGGGTTCCTCATGGTACCAAAAAGACTCCCTCACAAACTGAAAATAATAAACACACACACACGAGATGGTGAAGATTAAATAATATCACTTGTCACAGTGTCATACAGTTGCTTGTTATTGTTTTTATTTTGTGTTTACCTCTTGCCGCTTCTCCTCAAGATCTGATACCCAGACATCTTGTATAATATAACCTTTAATTTATACAAAATATAAAAAAAATCACACGCTGATTATTAGAGTCGTCGATGCAAAACTATAGGGAATTCAATGTTGCGCGTACGTTCTTCATACCTACGTAACACCCTAGAAGGATTCCTGTGACTCGAATTAGTTTATCTGTCATTCCTGCTTCCTTGGACTATACGAATCTCAAATGACCAAAGAAGCAAAAGAAATCATACACTCGCGAGTTTTATCGATTTAATGCGTAAATTAGAGAATTTTACCGTAGAGAAGTTACGGCGAGTACTGTAGATTTCTGGGATCGTCGATCGATCTGCGCATTGACGGATCACAGATTGTTCGTCGGCAAAATTGGAAGCTAGGGTTTGTCCTTTTATACCATTTGCCCCTAGCTTGGCAGCTTTGACTATAATTTTTTTTAAAAGAATCTATTGCCAATCTATATAAAAAAATTAGACCACGAACGAATGCATATACTTATAATCAATACTATTAATTGTGGATAGTATTTGAATAATATTTGATTTATGTTTCTTGGCAATGCCTTTTTTTGTTAGCAATGTTTTTTTTTATAAAAGAACGGTGTTTTGCCTAAAGGGCAGTTTTATAAAAAATAATTATACAAATATGATTACAAGAAAAAACACCAATATAATTAATCACACACAAATATGAAAACTAATTTTTTTTTAAAAAGTGTAAAAAAAAAATATACCCACCCTTTGAAGGACATGTCAAAATTTAGTACTTATTAATACAAACAGTGTCTACAAAATTTAAAGTTAAATGAGTTATCAAGATTGAAAAGTAGATTTGTGGACTTCTATGTTATTTTTTTTTCTGGACAAGATAGATACTTCTTAATTTAAGTAAATTATACCACTTTAAGTTTGAATAATAGATCATTAGTTTAATGTTTTAAAGAAACTTTAAAAGTCAATTTCAAAAATATAGATGAAGAAAAACAACGAAATATCATGTCACAACCATAGATTATGATTATTGTTTTTATCTACTTGTTCACAGCATAAAGCAACATGAAAAGTGACAACCATATAGAGGCTGGCAGCATCATTTACTAAACACAAACTGAACATCCGTCTCTTACACTATAAATACCGCATCAAGCAATCACAAACTAACACAAAATATTTATTGTTCACAGCATCAATGACCAAACCAACGAAGAATATCACGGATGACGGGTCTCAGAAGATTAAACTTCAGACACAACGGATCTGCCTTGGTGAGTTCCCGTTATCAACTTCAAAAGACCCGCGGATATTTCTATGGGCTTCTAAATGGGCCTTATTTTTATCCGTATATTATTGGCCCTCCCCACGGATATTGGTTCTTACATATATATTATTGATAATTATTTTTAATGTTGTATATTTTAGATGTGGTGTTACTATATCAAATGCATAGTTATTTTTGGTATAAATATCTGAATCTATTTCAGATATATTAGTTATTTGAATATTTTAGGTTCATATATATTTAAACTGATTTCATTTAGATACGGGAAAACCTAACTCGAAATCCATACATAAATTTATAAAATCCAAACAGAGTGTGATTTCAAAAAAAAAAAAATGATATCCGAAAGGAACAATCCATGAATGAATACCCAATTTTCATACCTAACTGATTTTATAAACTAAATAAAAATATTTTAAGTGAAGTAGAAAGAATTTCTTATTTCATAAAATATTCATATATGACGTGGAAAACTAAGTGATTGTAAATGTAATACAGTTTTATTATTTTAAATTAAGTTATTATTTTATTAACTTATACATTACGGAATTATATATTTAGCTACCTAGTATTTCACTGATTTAAAATTTTAACCATATATAAAATCCAGTTATTTTTCATTTTTTATTTTTATAATTGACATAAAGTTAGCACAAAATTAATATTGATTAACTAATAAATATAAATCTGCACTATTATTATTATTATGGTAACATAATTAATAATAATTAATGATGTGATATATTTTTAAGATATATAATTAATGAAATCTGTTGAATTTTTTTTTTTTGAAACACCAATGAAATC